TGTGCCCTTCGTAACAGTTGTTACTTTATTGACGCCTAGTACGTTTTAGTGGGAGACGCTTGTTTAGTGTTTGTCCCAGGATAATACTCCATATTGTACAAAATACGGATACTAAAATGTATGAAGTATTATGATATGTTTGTATTTTTTTTATTTTATTTATTTATTTGCAAGCTTTACAAATTTTAAATTTGGTTTACAATTCTGAATAATCTACTTACATAGCCAATTATAAAGTTTGTCAGATTACAATTAATTTTTTTTACCATTCAATTCCTTTTCTTCTGATATGTTGTGTGTATTCAACATCAACCCATTTATGCGTCCCACTGCTAGGCACGGATTCTCTCTTCCTCTCAATTGTTGGGGACTTCACACATTCTCCGAGGGGTGTGAACCTTCTTCGACTTGTCGGTTTCATCACAATGTTTTTCTATACCGAAAACATCATGGTCAATTTCAAATTAAATTTCGCACATAAATTCTGAAAATTAAAGCCCCGGATTCGAACCCACGGCCTCTGCTAGGGAGGTAGAAGGTTATACTACATACATTAGGCTACCACGGCGTTGTGTGTATTACGTTTTACTATTGCAAAAGTTTTTTTTTCCTTCTTTTTAAGGCTTATGTTACAATGTCTGGAAATATAATGTAATGTTCGTTATAAATGTTATACACACAACAAAAAATTAAGGCAAACAAATTGTGAAACAACCAAAGGTATGTGCTTTCACGTCTTTGTCCTTTGTTTACTATCCTATTTACGACCACCAAAGGAAGACCCTACTTTAATTCAACCGTCCACTTGAATAACCTGTTTATACATGTATATTTTACAAACAATACCTACCACTGTGTACAATCTCGAAGTACCCATGCGTAATACATTATTAAAACAATTTCACAATGCAAAATTAACACAACATTCGGAAGAACATTTTAAAGCACTGAAAATCTCTACTTATGTATTTTGCATTATTATGCTGTGTAATTATAGAATTTTCAGTTAACAAAATAGAAAGAGAATGTAATTCAATATTTTCCGCGTACTGCTCATATTGTTTCGGTGATTTTATGAATTTAATAAGAAAACATTGTCATATACTCCTCAAGTACCTCGATTCTAAGGAGACGAAACATTTTTATTAATTACTCTTGTATTAAAAGATAATCTTTAATGTAAGAATTTTTGAACAATCAACTGAAACCTTGTAATATTCCGGAATGCTGGAAGCTTAAATTTATAAAAATTCCAAGCGTCTATATTGTCGCCCATGCTATGGTAGCCGGTGTGAGAAATATACGAGCTAGCGCGGGCATTAGTAAAGTTCCCATGTTCCCGGGATCCTTGGGATGCGGGACAGAACGCCACACATTGGCCGAATATTAAAAGGAGAATTAGAGTGGTCACGCCTCGATGCGCTCATAAACGTTCTTATTAGAGCTCAGCTTGTTACAACGTTAAATATGAACCAAGATGCAACTGAAAATTTTCAAATGCAAACGGGGAATAATGCTGCTTTTTTCTTTTACACTGGTTTTATCTAAGCTTATGAGATTTAATTATAAAGGTAATTTTTGTCGAAATTTGTGCCGTTTTCATATGAACTTATTTTAAACAAAACTCGCTCTCTCACACATTAGAAGTTTAAATCTTTATATACAGTTGAAGTAAAAAAGACATTTTGGTAAACACTTGTTAATTTTCGAAGTCCTCTGAAACATAAATTCAATAACTCAAATATATGTACTAAGACAAGCTCTCACAAAAGTCTAAGGCTTTTTGCCTTCATAATAGTCCATGTTTCACATGGAACTCTCACAAGGATCTCTACTGGGCCCAATATTGTATTACATGCATGGCGTCATTCGGTAGTACTAACGATATTGCAATTATCTAAGAACAGCACTGTTCCTAACTATAAAGAAATTCACAAAGAAAATGTTCTGATTGCATTTCAAATTGTTACAGCACTTAAGATAACATGTAGCCAAAGCGGCTGTGAAGTCGCGCTCTCATTGTTACCAAATCTGAATGCGCGGATGCGCGGGTTGGTTAAATTAACTTCTTTAGACTAAACTAAGGTCGTAAGTATTGTTACATTAATCTTTGATTTTCCTTCGAAATCGTTTTCACAGTTACAGCGAGCAAAACAGTAAGAACTTCAATCGTTTATAAAAATATGCATGATTCAATATGAAACAAGTAATAGAAACATTTGCCAAAGAATTGGGTGCGGAAACTCTACATATGGAACTACCTATGTACATACAGACATAATACCCTACATCTGCATTATATTTTTTGCTATAACATTAATATACATAGGTATGTACGTTAACACGCCCCTCCTGCTCTAGCAACAAACAAGTCTCATAAAAATGTAAACGTAGGCTTTACCCCTATTTCTCAGAATACATCGCATGTCGATTTCTAAAGCTGTAAGATTTACGACAATTTCATAGGAATGGGCGGTTATAGATTTTCAATGTTCTGTATGTAACATACATAAAACTGACAATACATGAAATACTTACGTAAGACATAGAGTCATGACATTTGCTCTGAAAATGCAAGCTTGTTTTGTGCCCTTGGACACACTCGCAGGCAGATATCACGTGCATCATTTGGTTTCATGTACTTGTTGTATGGTTCTACAATAAGCACATGAATTTCAATCAAGGACATTGCGAATGCTTTTCATATACTGAAATATTGCTGTACAGCATTTTTATATAATATGTCATAAATGGTTATTCACAGAGACGGGCAAGTGCCCGGGTTTGAACTCGGCGCTTTATTAAAGCCGGTTTAAAACTCATTAATGCCGGAAATTGAGGGCAAAAACTATTTGCAACTAAATATTCATAAATCAAGTTAAGTTCAAATGTAATGATATTAATGATGAGAATTATATTAGTACAAAATATTTATTGCTTGCTCACATATTTTGCCTTCCTATTGAATCGATTCTCTCTAAAACCGCGTTGAAATGAATCGATACAAAAAATTGTTAGATCGTATACACTTCAATTGATTTTCATAAAAAATCGAATCGTAATGCATTCCTTGTGGACTCTCACTTACTAAAGTGAGAGTCCACAAGATTTCTTTTTTTTGTGTGGTGGGTGTAGAGTTGCCTCTTTGTCGTCTAAAAAAGATATTTTATATCAAAATTCCTAATAAGTATGGAAGTACACCAACTTCCGTATTATTTTACGCATGTAATGGTTCCGCCCGCGATTTTGGACAAAAATAGGTTAAAACCCGGCGCTTTGAGTAAAAATCCCGTTTAAATCCCAGGCGGGATGATTGAGTTTTAACCCATAATCCCCAAATCAGTAAAACCTAAATCAATAATAAATCAAAACGACACCTTGGAGGTTGGACGTTGATCATTGGGCGTAACTTCGGTTTCGTCGTAACGTCGCCCTAGAGACAGACCCCAGGGAATGACCTCGCACCGGCTGTCCTTGTCTGGCCTATCCAATCACAAACACGAATGAAGGTAATGACGCGACGTAACCCCACAAATTGTCCGTAACAATACCGCATTAGGTCACAACCAATGCGTCACAAAAAATCGGCATAATTTGTATTTTTTGCCGAATCCTGAGTGATGTAATTAACGAACACGCTTAAGATTATTTCCGCATTGATACTTTCCTTGAGTTCCTATCAAGCTGGTACGTCACTGATTCTTGTTTCTGGAAATACGTTAAGTAGAAAATGTTGGTGAAACTCGTATTGTTAGATTTGTATCGCTTAAGCTATAGGGATGACCGTTAGCCAGACGGATTTCCATGCAAAGAGTTGCGTCTGGCTTGTTATCTCTGCAGCTAGGGTATGCAAAGTTTCAGCTAGCTTGTTAGACTAGCGTTACAGCTATACCAGCTTGTTTCTTGTCGGCTTCCATTCGTAGTATTTATATGTATTACACAAAATTCATTACTTATTTGTGTAATATATTAATTTATATGTATTACACAAATAAGTAATGCTTTTGAAAAAGTTAACAGAAATTTATTAAATTCTCATAAATTTTCATGAAATTTAAGCCAAAGGGCAATTTATAACATTCAATTCTCATTAACCAAACTAATACGAAAGTCACTTAAAAAGCAGTTATAGCCGCACGAAATTAAAAGTATTTTTTATTTAACACGAACAGGGTTGTTCAGTTCATGCGTGCCCAAGCAAAAACAATTCCCTCTCAAACAAATCACCACTAAACAAACGTTTCTACAGGTAGGAATAATTCAGTGAAAGGTCACCTGTTACGGGTATTCGACATCGATCATCGGGAGTGCGCCGCGTCGACCTTCCTGCGTAATGTCGCCCAGGGGAGCGGCCAACGCCTGCGACGCGAGACGTGAGCCGAGACAAAACCCTCGGGCCCCCGCCGCGCCGCCTGTCAAACTGACTTGCCCGTTTTTGTACCCACGCACATTTTTCAAAGTAACTTACGCACCGTTACTACCCTTCGCCGGTACTCACTTGATCCACAACATATCTGATACACATCTGAAAAGTTAATAAGCATAGGAATTCATAATTAAGTCCTATGTAACGTACAGCCGTCATGCTCCGCGTAAACATGAATATTAATGATGCAATTTCGTTCCATTTGAGATTTATCACTGTTTTGTAAGCCAATGGGGAATTTTTAAAATGCTCCTTTGTGGCCAAATTTAGGTGCGCACGGTCGAACCGGCGGCGCGGTGACAGCGCATCTCCTCTCGCGTGTATTGTTCGCGTCCTAACCGCCGACTTTCCATTTATTTCTCTATGAATACGTTATTATCTGCTCGCCCTCGCTTATCAAAGTTTATTTGCAGCGTGTGGTTTACTCTGTACCGGTGCTTATTCGTTATTACAGCGCCGGAGTGTTTTATTGCCTGGGCGGGGCGCAAATTGCGCACAACGCCCTTGTTTTTCGCTATTTTTCCTCACGATCTTTTCAGGATTTGAAGTTTATTTTATGTCTTTTTTGTTGCAGATCGAAGACGCCATGTTAATGTTCGACAAACAAACCAATAGGCACAGAGGTAAGTCACTATAATAAGCATGTACGTCCAACTTATCCAAAGTAACGATTTTGATAAACAATTACATACAATTTTTTATGCTCTACTTATAGAGTCGAACCATAATTTAAATAATTACTGCTTAAAATGTATACGATTGCGTGATGGATCGTAGTAAGCTCACTTACATATAATAATTAATTGACCATTACAAACACGTAACCTTTCCTCCACGAGTACATAAAAGAAGTAGAACTTTGCCGTCTACGAAATACAAGTCATGAGCAAAATTAAGTTATCATTCAAAGGCTAGTGTCATAAACTTGTACAAAAAAAATGTTTGTAGAATACGATACTTGTTTTAAATTTCATCTTGTAAAATATTGGATAGACCCTCTCTAACATAAAACAAGAGTCGATTGAACTAACTGACTGATCCTGATTAAGTTGATCTGAAGTGTTTTCATCGCAACTCCGTGGGTTTGGAAAGTTTTTTTTTATGGTAAACATTATCTTCCTAACAAAAAGAAACAAATCCGAAACAATTTAATCCGCACCACCAACTTTTCATCCGAAAAGCTCATCAATAACCTGTATATAGGAAAAAAGGCGAAATAAATTCCAAGAGCAATGACATATATTAGTGGCCCGTAACTCAGCCGCGGAAGGCACGCACGAGTGGTGGCGTGTCACCTTGTTTTCCTTACAAAACAACGAACATTCAAAGGCTTGCGTATCTATCATTGGCAAACATCATTTTTGTGCGCGTCTCGGCTCATTTCACTGGCCGTCTTCGCCACGAAGTCATTGCTATGGCAAACTAGCAGCGGAAATATATATGATCCTCGATGGAGCTTAGCCAGTACTCGAAGACCTGTTATATTCTGATACCGAAACGTCTGTTACCATGTTCAATAAAGACCATGACAAGCAGGGCAGGTCAAACTATGGTGGGTATATTTTCGGCTCAGACGAAGCGAAGCGAAACGGAGGTTTGAGGTGGCATCGTCACTAAATAGGCTCACCGTTTTCGGTATTGTGTCCCCTCCCTCGTGTTACGACTATTCGCTGCTAATAAATAACAAATCGATGCCAGGATAAAATATATATGGTTTCCTCGTAGAGATTTCTTGGGTGGTAGATACCCCACATATTTTCTAAGAAAGGGTAAAAAGGGTATGGAGGAATGAATTTCAATGTTCACTGCTCTCTAATTTTCGTATATAACTACGTCTTATATAATATGTCTTTTTTCCCAATATTATCGTGGTATCATGAGATTGACCAGGTATTCTGTATGTATTTTAGCTTAGTATTTTGTAATGAAATTACCTACCCTCATTATTCCCGTACCGCGTTAGATTTTAATTAAAATCTATGAAATTCGTATAAAGGGCCGCCATCTTTTATCGCCAATGGAGGACCCTTGCAGCAGTTACTACAGCAAATACAATGTTAAATTTGCTTTTGTAATCCCCATTACACAAAAACAGGTTGACCCAAATATTCAGCCTGGGTGAAATATCGTTGCGCCGTCATTTATGCAAGTTCGCAAAAACGAATCCCGTTTCATTCGCAGCCGAGCGAAAAACGGCCCTTTCTTATTAGCGTAAGACAGAAAATGATTTACGCAAATTTTCCTGCGCGCCCAGCATGTGCCCTTTGACACGTGTCATTTATATGACATTTAAGAATCTCTCACTCCGTATTTAAATTAAAAATAAAAATGTCTTATAGTTTATACCTTAATTGATAGCACAAAAGTTCGAAGTACTGTCGTCACTGCATTAGACATCTTAAATTGTCTAAGAAAAATGTCGAGAATATCATTTCATAACGGAAAAGTACCTACCAAATATTTGAAATTGATTCGGTTGTAATAATTTAATATCAGATATTTCTTAGACCCTAATACCTCTACAGGGTTATTATCCCCGGAGCGTAATCAGTTGGGTCGGGTTATCCTCGCAAGAAATGTAAAAATATCCGCTGTTTATTTGTATCAAACTCAGGCAAGAGGCAACCCAAACGCGTATTCAAACTGAATATGAATGCAAACTGCCCTGGCGAACGGGCGGAATGGCGAAAATCAAATTAGGTATGGCGTGAATACTTCACGGCGACGTCGGGAAAAAAATTGAAATCAAATATTCATTGACTTTCAACCGGATAAGCCGGCCCACAGCCATTTCAATACATTTTATTATCTATTTTTTGCTGCGACGAGGACCGCCCGCGAACGGCCTCGCAAGACGACAAATTTTCTGGGCACTAGATTTATTAATTCTTACAATACACTTTCTTTTTCAGGGTTCACTACGCAAATTTCGTCCCCTTTTTTAGGGTGCGTAAGCAGTTTTAGCTTTCCCCGAGTTTTATCACCACTCTAATAAAATTTTGTGAATATGGCCTTTTCGGAGGTATTAATTTTTATTGTTAGAGCTACTTTAAATATCACCATATCTTGTCGCGGCATATTTTGCAAGACTTTGTGTCGACTTAGTGTATTGTTATTATTTCACAAAAATGTACAACACAGCAGCTTTGTTGAATTTCGATTTCATTTGTAGCTATGACAAATTTATTTAATAACTATAAATCATATGTTGAATGGGGACTTAATTCAAAGGGCGATTTTTTATGTAAAGCTGTTGAATCTGTGAACAAAATAAAAACCTTTTAGCCTTTTCAGTACATTAAATATGCGCGAATAATGCGTTTAATAGCACCCTTTACTGTTATTTACGACTTTTGCCGTTGAAAAAAAATAATTAACGATGTCCCCACATAGAATTTCTATTGTCTTTTTTTTTCAGAATTAAATTTTTAAATCCAAGTGCGTTATTAATACCTTTTCAACATTTTTCTGCTTTTAATTTCACGCGTATTCTGCTTCAAATGCTTACGCCGACGTACGCGTATGCCGAGAAGTAATAATAAAGGAAGCGTTACCAAATGTGTGTTCGCGTTCGTTTGGCATTCAAAGTGGCAGCCAAGCTTGACGCAAATGCCATTATACAAAGGTAAAACGCGACATGTGAGAGGCGAAGTTCATAAATATTAAACAAAAAAAACTAGCGGAACCAATCTCGGCGGGATGGCTTCCATTTGATCGCACGCGTCGCCTTTCACGCCGGTGGGACACATTTCTTCGAGTGTCTAGCTACCGTGAAAATTTCACCTCCAACTTTGCATAAGAGTAGTGTTATCTATATTTCATTCGATGTCGTTCGTGATGTGTAAAGACGCCTATTGCGTGAATCATAAATGGCAATCGTTTTCGTCGAGTTTCATTGAGTCTGGGTGAAGAGCGAATATCTGCGGGTTAGTTTTGGTATATTATGTCTTCGACGTGCCGATATTTTGTGTAGGAAATCGACTTGTTTATAGTTTTTTTTATGGACTATGGATTTTTTTTTATAGCGGGCCATGACATATTACAAAAAACAACGAGAATGAAAATGTAAAGCAAGAAATACACAAAGGAAGCAAAAGTGTGCGTATTTAATAATTATTCATATACGCAAATTTTGAAAATGATTTTATCGAATACTTATGAACATAGTAAATCTTTTCTTCACAATATATTGTTAAGTTAAAATACGACACGCTATGATGACGTTTGTCCGCTCATCGACTTTCGTATTAATTGATAACTACGTTGAAGGTGCTAATTGCTGTGAATAGTGACGTGCAGTAAAATTTATGGATGTATAATTTTACCACACAACTCGGCATTTGGTTATCAAAATTCGAAATTTTAAATAATGAAATCTAATACGATCGTCACTGATAGGATCGCTGTCCAGCACAACTTCTAACTCGCGTCATAGCACAATGCAAAAAAAGCACTTTCGAATTGACGATATATTAATAAACAATTTTATTATCGTTTTTTTAAAACTTGTTTTAACCAGCTACCCCTTGCAATACTAGTGATAAATCTAGAAACTTATAGATGCTACTGGCATTTGATTATAAAAATTTTTAACCGACTTCAAAAAACAAGGAGGTTCTCAATTCGACTCTTCGCTCGACTTCGACTCTCAATTCGCGATAACTCCGGTATTTGTGAACCGATTTTCATTTCATTTTGAAGAAAATCATTAATTTAGGAGCAATTACTTTAATGGTTGATTTTGCTATTTCTCCAATTCAAGGCGTTTTTCTCTCAATATACTTTGAGTAGTGAGAACCGATTTTTATTATCTCCAATGTCAAGTCCTGTATAGTGGCGAACTAGGGGATATTTCAATAAAACTTAGCAAATAGGCGTAATTCCACGTACTTTTAAGATCGGTTTTTTTAGTACTTTGTACTGAGATTATTCGATAATGAATTGAGACCTCGCTATTGTAATCTGTCAAAACGGCCATCATAGCATAGCCCGTATTGTAGGTGAACTTCGTCTTACGTAAAACGTAGTATATACGCCTCCAGAACTCTTTTCTACGTTTTATCCGGTAGAAAACCTCATATAGTTTTCATGATTCCTAAGAAAATGGTCTACGTTCCTTTTATTGCAATTCAATCCACAAAACACTTCAATCTAGCTATTTTCGTACATTCTCGAGCAATCCTAATACTAGCGAAGCTTTTGAAGTAGAGCACTCAGACTGTGTAAAGTTTGCAATTTTAAGTGTGTAAGTTGAGACAAAGGAATCTGACCTTTAAGGTGAGACAATAGGAGTTGAGTAGGGAGTTTTATAAGTTTGTAAGTGTACGTTCGCCGAGTGCTAAGTGGTAGCACGTGGCAGCCTCCCTCGGGAGAGGCGGGAATACACCGGCTTAGATGCATCTTGCGGGGAACCAACAGCCCCTGTTAATATTACGTGTATTACAATTAATTCACTTTAAAACAATGTTAACTGGAAGCTGTGTAGGTAAGTTTTAACAGAATGTTAGAGATGTATTTGAAGTGGAAAATTGTTCTGACACCTTGTTCGTTTTGATGGCAACGTCTGTAGAACTAAAGTTACGAAACTGACTTGAATTACTACTACTATTTAAAACGACTATTT